GCCCGCGTCGGACAGTCACTTGCGCCGCTCCTGCCTACCTTGTGTGTGCGTCCCGTAATTTGCTTACTATATTTCCTTGTAACTTAAAAACTAAACTTCAGATAAAATTTTGGTAAAGGAAAAATAGTCTTAAAATTATCAAGAACACAGTATTTTAAGGACAAACGGTTGTTCTGATTCACCCTATATATTAAGTAAGCTCCCAATCTTGACAAGTTAAAGACCCAAGAAATAGTAAAATATTAAGTCTAGATGTCAATCGATTTCTTAATTGCAATTTAATAATACCTGCTTTCGAAAATAGGCGTTCAGAAGGAACAGATGTCACGACAATTGCTAAATATTTTTATGCAATGTTAAATAATACAGGATACGCATATTTTAAAGTTTGCCACGCCTGTAACGGATTATGGTTTCGTGGAGTTACGGATTGATTTAAATATTGTCGCAATTCAACGTTTATTCCACCAGGATCATCACGAGTTACAGCAGACGTGGCTACTAAAGTATCATGAAAATTCCATAAGGTGTTATTACAATCTGTAATCGGTTTCAACAAGGTATTAGAATTTATATTTGTTTCTGTCTGCATTGCGGCATTAATAGTTGAAATTGCCAACGATACAGCTCTTGGCTGTTGAAAATGTAACCTTTGGAATCTAAGATCTAATATCGTAGCAATTGTTAACAATTTTCAATATCATTAAATCGTCTTTAAATTTGTAACAAAATATTTTTCTTAAAGTTTAAACCATGATCTGTTATAGGAATGCAATCATTTATCGCATTTGTCATACATCGCACTAGAGGGATAAAATACTATACGTTGAACATGAATCGCCTCCGATTTCGTTAGTGACTAACTCGATTGGTCGTAAAAGGTTTACAATATCATTTAATGGATCAAACTCTTCACGAGTAATCATATCTGGAGGATATAGGAATAGAACTGGATAGATGTAATCCCTTAGCTGTAGAAATCGTTCAATCATGTAAAATATAGAATTCCAATGGGTTGGTCTTGTTTAAACTTTAAAATAGTGCCATCTTATTTTCCATCACGCTTTTGTGTTAGTTCATCTGAAAGTACTACACTTCTTCTGACTGCAGTAACTATATTTTTAACTTTATTTATAATTTCTTGTACTTGAAGTGTATTTTCTATACTTTTAGGGATCACATGTGCCAATACATGTGCCATACATGGAATGTGTTTCTTCTTATTAGGAAACATACTGTTTATTGCACAAATCATATTGGCAGCGCTATCGGTAACAATTG